TGTCAACTGCACCACTCAGCTTGGTGTCATCTGCAAACTTGCTGAGGGTGCACTCGATCCCACTGTCTATGTCACCGATGAAGATATTAAACAGTACCAGTCCCAATACGGACCCCTGCGGGACGCCACTTGTCACCAGCCTCCCTCTGGACATTGAGCCATTGACCACTACCCTCTGGATGAGACCATCTAACCAATTCCTCACCCACCGGACAGTCCACCCATCAAATCCATACCTCTCCAGTTTAGAGAGAAGGATGTTGTGGGGGACCGTGTCAAAGGCCTTACAGAAGTCCAGATAGACCACATCTGTAGCCCTTCCCGTGTCCACTGATGTAGTCACTCCATCACAGAAGGCCACCAGGTTGGTCAGGCAGGACTTGCCCTTGGTGAAGCCATGCTGGCTGTCTCAAATCACCTCCCTGTCCTCCATGTGTCTTAGCATAGCTTCCAGGAGGATCTGTTCCATGATCTTCCCGGGCACAGAGGTGAGACTGGCCTGTAGTTCCCCGGGTCTTCCTTTTTTCCCTTTTTAAAAATGGGGGTTATGTTTAAGAAAGCCTTTACAGTTGTAGCTATAACAAAGGCTAAAACTGAAACATTGAAAGTTGAAAGCTGATACATAAGCACAGGAAAAGGTCAGAGGAAAGGATGAGGCCTGACATTACCATTCCTATTCTAATGTTTGCACCCAAAACTCTACTAAATATGAGGATGGAAAATAACCTCTACAACTTTTTTTTTTTATTTATTTCAAGACCTACTATTTAAAGGTTACTCTGTGAGGAAATAGGTATTTTCATACAAACTCAAGCTGGCAGTGTTCCTCTTATTGGCACAATGCCTTTGGATGAATTTTATAATAGCCCAAATAACATCTTTGTAGAGTTTCTCTAAATTTTTCTGTTTGGGCTGATGTACGTTGGGAGAACACTATAAATACTGTTTTTCAAAGAAGCATCATAACCAAATATTGCTGTTCCAACATCAACAGAGTTGAGTAGACTTTTCTTAGCCATTTTTCATAATCATTTGTGTTTCTTGGACAGTGCACTTACACTTTGTCATTACCAATGTGCCTGCAGTAGTAACTTTTCCTTTTGGAAGTAAGGAACTTACTTATTAATAAGAATGTGCTTCTAAGATAATTCCTTTGAATAAATTACATTCTTGTCTCTTTAACTCTTATATTTTAAAGAAAGGTATGAACTAATTTATCCAAAATCATGAGATATTTGTCTAAGACTCACAAGTAGCACTCACAGGTGCTGTGCAAATTTTCTCAGGAGAGTTCTACTACCCAAATTATATCACTGCCAGCCAACCCATAGGATCTTCACTCTACAAGAAATTCTTAAGGCTAAAAATATTTAGAACTAATGCTGGCATACAGAAGTGATGACTTGATACCAAACCAGTATTATGGCTGTCAGAGCTGTAACAATTTATGTACTACAATGTACAATTTATATCCTCTATTTAAAAAGTCTTAGATCTGTCATGGACCAAATATCACTGCCCTATATCATACTGCTGCAACAAGCAATATCACTTAGCTATATCATACTGATACAATTATGTTCTATGGGAAGTACTCTGAACCAGCTACCATAATGTAACTGTCGACACATACGATCTAGGGTCACGGGAATTTGGATTCTGCTCCCTTTGCAATTAACTTCCTCTCTAACAGCAGGCAAACTGGTTAGACCCAAAAGCTCAAAACTGGCTAGCATCTAAACATCTTGAGAATTCAAGACTTGGCCTTTTGTGACTCTTATCCCCCTAATGGTAAAACAGAAATGGTAGACTTCCCAATCTTAAACAGATTACGGTGAGAGTAAGTGCATGAGAGATAATCATGTACTCACATACTATGACAATAACAGCCCTATCGGTATGATAGATTAGCTTCTAAGATTTTATAAATACCATATAAAATAACCTTTAACTTGTATTTACAGAAAATGTCTGTGCAGAAAAATGGATGCTGCACCACATTGTTATAAAAATTTGTTTCTGATACTATTAACAAGTTCTATTTCATCTATGAACCTCCGCACTACAGAAAAGAACCACTACAGCTTCCACAAAAGAACACAAAAAGAAAACAAATCCAGATTCTAAGCTTACAGCTATGTGAAACATGGTTGCAATCCCAAGTACAGGCTTGGAAAAGCCAGAATGCACATAATCCTTTTAAAGTCATATAATTATTTCTGCTTTTGAATCAAGCACTGCATAAACGAGACTGTGCTTCTTGGAAGATCGTGTAAATTGTTGAATATTATTAACTCTGAAAAAAAAAATAAAAAATTTGTTTAGATAGAAATAGTTACTGCACTTCCACAGTGTGGCTATAATCGCTGCTTTATACATATTTCTTTCCATTCAGTGTCAGAGGAAAGGGTATTATGGGTAGGTTTGTTTCAGTGTGCCACTCTGCCTCAGTCTCACACAAAGAACTCTTTGTGGGGTCACAGATTAGCATTTGGGCAGGCAGCCAAGAGAGATGAAAGGAGGATGGCTACACTAAGGATGTACATAGCTTACACTCATCAAATACCCAGGGGAAAAATACAAGAAAAAAATCCATGTAGTCTATAATTTCAGTAGCTGTCCTCTATCCCTTTAGTTTCTGAAAAAGTGCTTTTAGTGGAAGCTCTAGCAATGTGGAGTTCTACTCTGGCACTACAGGTTGCAGGGTCTTACACTTAATAAGTATTACCTCAGTTCTGAGATAAAGTAATATTTTAACATTCAGTTATAGCAATATTGTTCAAGAGAGAGGCAGGTATAGTCGTATCTTGACAGATGAGACATGTATACACCCATAAAGTAACAAAAAACTTTATTAGAGTGTATATGTTTAAAAAAAAGATGGAAAGATAATTCAGAATAACAGCATGCTTGAAAAATAGCAAGCAAACTGCCACTGTAGAAATCATTGTGAAGGAAGAGAAAATGCTTAAGTTATAAAAATCAAGACCAAATGTTCTCACAATACTTTCATCCATATATCTGTATCTACATCCATCCATCTATATAAATTAATAGCAACCATACAGTGCTCAGTTTCAAACAGGAAACACGGCCTGCAAAGGATGCTATGGATATCTAGCACTTTGAAGGAATTTCCATTCTTTACATAGTCAAGATCTCAAATGATATGTAGAAGGATATGTATTTGTGGTACAGTAGAGAGAAGATGCAAAAGCTGCATTAAATGTGGAGGTAAATTAGAAACAGAAGATATTACTGTACAAGGATTAAGGACAAAAGTCTACTTAGTATTCCAGAAAACTTCTAATGGGAAACAAAATCTTCCCCATTTATTTTACTGCAGGTCAGTGGTAAGAATTCACTGAAGATGACTTACAGCTTATACTCACCATTTTATCTCTATTTGGAAACTGACATGAAATAAATGAATAGCTCAGTCTTCTGTGCACAACTGACCTGCACAACAACCACTATTCACAACTGGCACTTTTTGTTGGCAGTCTGAGCAGAAAATCTAAGGATTACATTGGCATCAAGTCTAAAATATGCTCTGAAACCAAATGATCGTCTCTTGAGAACATAGCTGAAGTACCTCATAGTGGAGAACAACTACAACTACCTGTGCTATTCGTAGCCTGTGAGTAGAAGCTTTCTGTTTTCAGCATTGTCAGATTTTCAGCATGCTTTATTTGGGAGCAGTGAGTTTAGGTCCTGATAAGTTATTAAAATCTATTTTCCAAATACAGTAAGCACTGTAAAGGCAAAACAGAACACTATAATGAGTGCTAGATGGAGGACTATTCACTTTTGAAAAGCTAATACATCAATGTTTTTAAGCAGTTAACAGAACGAAATAAAGAGTGTGAAAGTAGCAAACAGCAAAGCATTGCTGGAAATCATCCATATATAAAAACTATATGAGTATATATATAACAAAACTATTACTTAAATACTTTCTTACCTTAGCATTTTCAATGCAAGGACAAATAGCCCAAGCTGCACTTGCTTGAACATCTGGATTAGGATTTTTCAACAATGACCATAACAAACGAACTCCATCTAGACGGTCAATTATCCTATTGCAGAAACAGACCAAAAAAAGACATAATTAATTCTGGAGTAGACAATGTTAAATTTTAAATTGTATCAGTTTGTTTGGAACACTGCTTTAATAAATATTGGTATGATTTTCTTTAACATACTGTTTTGCTTTATGTAAGTGCTTGTGTTTTATTGTCAGCTAATTGCCATCAACATAGTCAGTAAACATTGCTTACTATAGTAGATGGGTGTGAACAAATAATGTAAAGACAGAATATGTTTTCTAACTAAATCTCATTAATGCTGTTTACTTTTTTCTCAGCACTGTCATTCGAAATGCTTATAGAAGATAAAGTAAACTACATTACAATCAGAGCTCATATAAAAGTGAAAGCAAGCATGTGACTTTTTAATGATCTGCATGCAAAGTGAAATCTGAATTCAAGCATACTGGCTTCTTTCATATAGTAACAAATACTTTCCAAAACAAATATTTATGCCCAAAACTATGTACTTAACTTTTTATTCAGTCTATGCTTAATGTATTTACCTTACTCTATGACATATTTTAAAATACTATGTTTCTAATCTAGCATTAGAAATTAAAATGGTCACACCACAGTGCATCCTTTGTTGAGCACGAATAACGTGTAACTTGTTTCCCATGTGTTCCTTACCAACAAGACTAACACAGAACACTATATTATAATTACTTAAACACACTGTAATCAAAGTATCTTCGTGACTAGCTGAAAAATGAATTATCATCAGAATCATCTCTACACCATCTGTGTTATGTTTACATATCAATCAGGCTTGGCGATCGTAACTTCACATTAGGGTCCAGTGAATACCTTAAACGGAAAGGAAGGTCAAACAAAACTTAATAGCCTTTACAAACATGCCTTTTTTCAAAAAGATATGTTAAACCCAAAGCAGATGAGCTGAAGATAAAGAAAAGTAAATATACCTTCATTTTCTAACCTCAAAAGTAAAAATTCAATTGTATAAAATTAGTCTACATCTTTAATTGTAAATACAAGAGAAATTTAAATACAGATTGTGCTTAAAAACATCACATAAAACTTCTCATTTGTGTTCACGATATATAGGTTTGCCAGGAAATTTTTAAACTAATTATAAAATCAGCTTTGTATGTAATCCTACCGTCATTTGAAGCAGAAAAAATAATTAAGGACATGAACTCTGTCTAAAATAACCAAGGATTTTATTCATAACGCTTTTATGCAAACTGGTTAAACAATGTTTTTCAAAATAATACTTTTTTGCACAAAACTACGGTTGAGACACTCTAAGTTATTTAAGATCCGTTAATTTTAACACAGCTTATTTTACACACTCAGCTCGAAATCAATTGAAAGAAAATCACCATTCAAAGGATAAATTCAGAAATCTTAACACACCAAAATAAAACAGCATGATCACAACCTACATAATAACATATACATGTTCAACATAGTAAGGATGACTTAAGTAAAAACTTCAAAACAAGCCTTTAAATCCCTCCAAACTCCCAACACTTTTAAGCAATTTTAACATTACTTTCCTGTCATTTCAGAAAGCACAAGGAATTTTTTCCTATATTGGAATTAATTAAAAAACAACCCATGAATCTTTCTTCTAGTCAAGCAGAGTACTGACCATTTACCAACATGAGGTACTTCCTCCCAAGAGGGGCTAAATATAAATGACCCAGCTCCAACCAGTATATAAAAATCAAGAGATAGAAGCCAAACACTGAGCTCAGCTTTTTCCACCACACTTAAAAAAACAACCTCTAGGCTGATTTATCTTTCCTTTCTGTTTTTTTGAAAGCTTCCTTTTCAATTTAAAGTTTACTTTCATTTTCTTTTCAGTTTTCTTGTCTTCTCTTCAGCTTTTCAAGGTAAACTAGCCTCACTCTATGGTTCATTTTCTAAAGAAGAGTTTTGCCTTTTGCTTGAAGACCAGAAAGACCTGTTGTCTTACACCCAACAGAACAGCTCAGAATATCTGAAAGTGTAGTCCTCCGTCCATTCAACGTGTACAAAATCAAACTAAAAAAACAGTACGGACAAAACAAACAAATCTCCGAAGTGCATTGTTCATCACTGATTACTGCTTTCTCTCAGTTACACTAGATTAATTCAAATGAAAAGAACTCTACATACAAGAACATGCTCTTAAATTCTCATACTGGAAGAATTATCATTGTGTAATCACCATACAAGCACAAACCCTTTTATTTTCATCTTGCTGAGAACATATATTTGCCAATTAAAGAAAGCATTGCTAAACAAGTGACTAATCCTTTCTTAGTTCAAATTTTTATCTTTCCATGGTTTCACTGCACAATATAGCAAATGAAGAAACTGGGTGTTAAACGAGCATATCTGCTATAAAAGCAAAGGAACACTAAAATAAATGGCCCTGAAAAATGTTTCCTCTATAAAAGTGCTTAGACATCAGCTTCCTTTCTATGTCAAAATTCCTTTTTAAAGTGGACAAAAATACACATTTAGGTTTCTTTACAAATAAAGAAAGAGACAGGAAAATAGATCTGTAATCTTGAAAATTTCAGCTCTGATGGCATTACACTAAACGATATTCTGATTTGCTTTTGTATATAGCTTTTGTATCTAATTTTCTTCCCAAAATTTATTATAACATTATTAGCAGGATGCTGTAATAAAGCTACTTACCACAATACTTTGGTTGACATTCAATTCTGTATTCATCCATAGCTAGTACATTAGCCACTCTGTGGTTACAGTCACTTAACGATATATTTTATAATAATTTGTTGACATTATGAGATAAAATTAAACAACACTTAAACCTGTATTAAACAACGACTCATGGGACTGTTAAAGGACAGTTCTTTTAATAAAGATGCAGAACATTTCCTTTGAAAGCTGAAGGGAATCTCATAAAAGCTGAAATAATATGATATTTAGTTGATATAAAAAATCTTAGTATTTAATATTTTAAAGTTCAAATATTTAACTACTTTATAGAATACCTGAACTACATGTATGTAATTAATAGTAAAAATCTTAATAGGCATGAAAGTCACCCAAAGTAGGCATGTAAACTTTATTATAGGTAATTGCCATCTGGTGCTTCACATATATATAACAATATATAAATATGCAGAGTTCAGAAGCAAGAGCCCAGATTCTGAACTATTGTTGCTCTATACCTTAACATAGCAGAGGCATCTCACAATAGACCTGGACCAAGATGGCCAGCAGCCACCTCTTCTGATTCAAAGCTTGTCGCAGACTTTTCTTATTTGATCACTGATACAAATTAGAACAAGGTGTAAATTATTCTGCTCCTCAAAATAACCAAAAGTAGTTGTATTGGCAGTTAGAAATAGCTGGAGTGAAGAGGCGCTCCTATCATGCGCTCCTATGCAGGCCCGACATGACTAGAGCAGAGATGAAGGGGTATGCAGCTGACATCACTCCTACAAAAAGGCAACTGCAAGGTATATGAGCAAAACATCTTCCTGGTTTCCACACAGAACAGCTGACATAGGGTGTATATAGAGTATGTCTTATGGGCAAATAATTTTAATGCAATTAAACCCATTCAGAGATTACTGGAGTGTCTAGGACAGCCTCTGGAAAATCTCACGTTACAGTGAATTGGTATTTGCTATTTCATCAGTGCAGATAATTTAACAAGATAATTTTTTTTAATTACTTTTGTTGGCTGTTTACAGTCAACAGTTGTTTAATAGACTTTTCACATTATTTCGTTTAAGAACCTTGATATCATGACATCACTGAACAACATGAGATGTCTGTGCAAGACGTGGGTTACAATTCTAGAAATTTACTTTGGTTTTTTTTTATATATCTGAAACTGGCAAAGCTGTTAATCTGAAATAGTACTTCTCTTTCAAATTCAAACTGAATATTGAACACTTCCAGTAGAAACTTCAACATGTATTACTTAAACACACATGCATACACACAGCCTAGACATCTGTTTGTCATATCTATCATCTTTTTCTGTTACAGTGTTACTTGCCAGAACTTTTGAGAAGTCTAGTTTAATTGCCTCCAATTTAGACCACAAATACAAATGTAAATAAACAAAGTTATACTGACTCTATATTGTGCTCACTGGTAAGATTACAGGGTTTAATTCTGTCAGAATGTAATCTTGTCTTTTTTGAAACCACAATTTAGCATGTTTCTTAAAACTTTCACTAGTTGCTGTGGTCTGCTTTGATAAACAGTATTATATACCAATGACTCAAACTCCATCTGTTTGGCTAAAATAATTGTACATTTTAGTTTATAAGATTCTAAACCCTCAGTTTTGAACACTAGAGATGAAATCTATAGATTTTCAAATGAAAAGGGCAAATTAAAATCTAGTGGCAGTTAAAGAATACGCACTAGTCCTCTGTTTTTAGTAAGAGAAAAAGAGTAACTTGTAAAAAGTTCATCAAAAAGACAAATGTACAAAAAAGATGTGCAGCAGCATCTCTGTCAGTGGCTATGCAGCCAAATGAGTATGGAGAACATCTTCACACTGTGCACATAATAGGAAGTTCAGTCACATAGTTATGCTGTTTTAAGAAGAGTCAACTTATTTTTTGCTGTGAGAGAAGCTGGCTGCTGCTCTTTATTTTGCATAGCTCACTAGAGTCAATTAGAATCACTTAATTGCTTGAAGTTGCCTTAAAGTAAAGGCTTGGTGCAGAAAAGTAACACTATTCCACTCAGTAGTTGTAGAAGTTAAAGTGTCAACTAGGAAACATGACAGAGATAAAAATATATAAAAGACATAGAGAAGCTCTAGATTCACCTATGCCAATCTACTAATCTTCTCTCTTTGTCAGTGGAACATATGATGTATGTTCCTCCATGGAACATATGATAAACATACCATATTTCCCTCAGAAGTTAACTGCACTGTTTCATAAAACGCTCATTTTTTTATTTCTTATATTAATCCCATCCTCTTCATTACATACTCTTGAATCATTCACAGAAACTTCATGAGCTCCACTCTCGGTCTGTATGGTTTCCACATAGCTACTGCTGCAAGTATAAGCACATTCAAAATAGAAGACTGCTCAACTGAATATCTAGTCTCTAATCCACACGTTGTTAAATGTAAGAATATATCTGAAAATTCTCAATCCTTATGAGGGCTTGATACTCCCTTTAAATTTTCCTGCTTTGTCCTGGGTTTCTACTACATATGAAAGTCAATGATAGCAGAAACCAGAAAAATCATCACAGTTTTCAGAATTTCTGTAGTGCCAAACTAAAACAGTAACTCTTTAAACAGTACTTGTCTGTACGAGATGACAAAGAAAACAAACCTTAAGACCTACCAGCCAAATTTACCAGGAGAAAAGCTAACAGTAGAGAACAACTGATCTCCTAGAACCTGTCAAGCCATTCTGAGGAATAAGTGATTATGAAATAAGGAACGTAATATGGATCCAGCCAGACGAACCAGGAAGAAGACCAGGAACAGCTAAGTATCAAACTGCAATAGGAAGTTCTCATCACCTGTATATACTTACAGGCTACAAGTGGCTTTGCTTTGCTTCTTTCTAGGAGACAATCTTGGCACATATATTGGGTTTGCATGGGAAGGTTTTGGTAGTGGGGGGGTGCAGGGGTGGCTTCTGTGAGAAGCTGCCAGAAGCTTCCCCTATGTCTGATAGAGCCAATGCCAGCCGGCTCCAAGATGGACC